ACAACCCCCCAGAACCCATCACCACCCACCACCAGCGAGGCAGAGCTCTGGGGTGGGTGCTGCTCTGCTGTGAGCAAAGGAGAAGGGTGAGAGTTTAATTCCCCTTGTGCCTGCTGCAGTGTTTGTACGTGTCACTCTCCTCCCTCTGCTGCTGGGAGCATCTTCACTCTTGATACAGTGATCAAGGAGCAGCTCTCCCTCCAATGAGGTAAATCAACCTCTTTGCTGCTCCCCCCCGTCACCTTCAGCCCTGAATTGTTCTCCAGGAATTACTGAAGTGCTGAGACACAAACTGCAGAGTTTATTGGAGACATTTCCAGTGCAGACAGCTGGGAACACGAGTGGTTGATGGGACCAGCAGCGCTTACACTGGAGCATTTCCTGCCCTCCCATCCTGGTGCTGGGGGTGTGTGTGCAAGTGGAACTGCACTGAGCCCAGACCAGACACAGAGTTTGAGGTGTCAAACCCCCTGAGGAGCCCAGTTCCAGGTGCTGCTCGCACCCCTGCAGAGAGGGTTCGATATGAAGTGTTGGAGGTAGAGCCCCTCTGACCCCCTGGTTGCATTAGGGGTGTGGGTGCCTCTTCCCCGCAGGGTATTTCCCCTCAAAGCACCCAACATCTCCTGGTGCTTCCCCTTCAGCCCATGGGAAACCACCCAGAACCAGAGGAGAGCTGTTCCACTTCCATGGAAAGATTTCCAGTTTGAAATAAACCATTTTCCAAGCAATCCTTCATTTGCTGTTGGGATTGAACTGTCCCTCCAGCCCTCAGGCAGCATGGAATAAGCCTTGAAGAACCATTCAGAAGGAACCTTCAGGAGCTACTGGTAAGGGCTGCTTTGGAGGTGACTGTCCCATGTGTTCTACATGGAATAAATTCCAAGTAAAGAGCCTTCAGAGTTGCTGGAATGGTTGATTTCACCTTCAGAAGCTGCTGGAAGGGTTGATTTCACCTTCAGAAGTTGGTGGAAGAGTTGATTTCACCTTCAGAAGTTGCTGGAAGGGTTGATTTCACCTTCAGAAGCTGCTGGAAGGGTTGATTTCACCTTCAGAAGAACCAGCCTTTGACCAACTGGGTTCCCAACATGTCTCCTCTCTCCAAGTGCAGGTACAAAGCCTCAGCCCACCCCACCACTCCCGAGTTCCCCCAATTTCAGGACACTTCAGGCAGCATTTCTGTGATCCTAAGACTACAACCAGATTTCACACACATTTTGTACCCAGCTTTATAAATATTCCCTTTGCAGAAAACACTTCTCAGAACACAGGCCAGAGATGAGATTGTAACAACACAAGTTCTGGCTTCATTATAACTCAAAAAAAAACCCCAAAAAAAGGATAAAACAGACTCAAAAAATATTGCACAGACAAACCCAGCAAACATCAGGTTCCACAGCCACACTGAGTCAGTGTGTGTCATCACACAGCAGTTGGCATCTTGGACAGAAGATAGTTTGGGGGGGGGATTTAAAATAATTCAGATGTCATCAGCATGCAGGTAAAGAGACAGGGCAGGGGAGGGGGGAGTACACTGCTCTAAAATGAAACCTGCTCTCTG